GGCAGCTTTGTGTGGCCTCCGCGCGCGCGCCCGAGTGCCTGGGTCAGCGCTCCGCGCTGGCTGCGCCCGAGTCTGGGGACTTGGAAAGTTTCTCGCCGGCGCTGGCGGACGAGCGAGTGCTGCGCCCCTGCGCTAGGCCCGGGCGCGCGGCCGGGCGCGCGTGCGTGGGCGCGGTCGTGTCGCGCGTGCGTGGCGCCGGGGGGTGAGCTTGCACAGGCTGCGTGTGCAGAGCTCCCTTTGTGGGCTGGCGGGGTCCAGCGCGGTCCCCTGCATCTCGCAGGTGTGGCCACCCCTCCCCCGCGGACGGCCCTCTGCCAGGGTGTGCTCGCGCCCGCGTGTGTGCACAGCCTGTGTGCACGCGCGCGTGTGCACGCGCACGCACGCGAGGCTGCTCTGGGGGGCCTCCAGCCCCTGGGGCTCAGGCCTTTGGTAACCGCCCCTTGGAGGGACCTTGGGGGCGCCCCTTCCCCCGGCCGCCTGGGGGGCCTTTGTCTGCCTGCCTGCCAGATGTGCAGTGCCGGGGCCTGCCTGGGCAGAGGAGGCCTGGAAAGTCTGAGTGTGGAGTGGGGTCCCCCCAGGATCCCCGGTGGATGGAGCCTGCTTCCCTGAGGCATTTCCTCTGCTGTGGGTACCTCCCCCTCACTGGCCGCCTCCCAGAGAGCAGGAGAGGCTGGGGGATGGCCAGGCCTGGGCAGGGAGCGCACCCCAGATACATTCACAAAAGCGGTCACACCCAGAGTCACACTCACATACACTCTCACAAGCCAGGGTCACACTTGCATCAGAGGGGAGACCCCGCTGGCGTCCCTGCCTCCTGCCTCCAGCCAGGCCTAGACCCTTCCCTCCCCAGTCCCCGATGGCCCCCCAGCCAGCTCTACCTCTTCATGGCCCCCCAAAGCCCTGGGCAGACCCCGCCTCCCAGAGGCTGGCACAGCCCCTGGCTCACCCTGGCCACGGCCTGTGTGCGGCCCACAGACCGGTCTGTCCTACCCCTACTCAGAGCACAGTTAAGTCCTCCTGCCCCCCCCCCCAGTCCAGTCCTAACTGCCAGAGGGGTCAGGCCCTCGGGAGGAGGGACCCTGCCTCAGGGAGGAGTGGGGAGTGCAGACAGGGAGGGGGCCAGCGGGCCCCCCCCCCCCGCAGGAAGGCTTTGGTGGAGCAGGGCCCCTGAGGATGGCTTATGGGGGGCCAGGTGAGTGGAAGGGGAAAGGAAGCTTTGGAGGAGAGGCGTGCGGGGTGAGCACCGGGTGGCTGCAGGCAGAAGGGCGGCTCCCCCTGACCGGCCTGCTCCTCCTCAGGCCCTCCAGGGCTCCAGGGAGTGGGCGGCTGACACCCCCATCAGGGGAGATGCCCTGGGCCGCACCCACCCGAGCCCCCGCGAGGTGCAAGGGGGAAATGGTCAGCCAGGGCCCAGCGGCAGGTCCGAGCGGCGAGGAGTCAGCTCCCTCTCGCTGGAGGGGTCCAGGCCGGGCGGGGAATGTTGGCTCTGAGGCCGCATCTTGCTGGAACCTGGCTCGTCCCCCAGGAGTGAACTGCCCTGTTTGGGGATCAACTCTCAGACTTGGCCCGGCCGCAAAGCAAACAAGACAGTGTGTGATTAAGGGGGAAATGGCGTGGAGGGGAGGAGGCCTGGCACCCGGCGCCCGAGGCCGCGTCTGCGGCAGGCCGGTCTGGGGCAGAGGCCGGCCGCAGCGCCAGTGGAGCAGCCCAGAGGGGAGCCAGCGAAGGGCCTGGCTGGAAAGGGCGCGGGAGGCCGGAGGCCCGGCGGCCGCGTGGGCCTGACAGCAGAGTGGAGGCCGCCGGGTATGGGGCCGGCCGCCCACCTCAGGCCCAGCCTGGCCTGAAGATTCACAGCAGCGCAGCCTGTGAGGCTGACCCCCGGCCCCCGTGCTGGTCCTGGGGTCCCCTCGCTGTTCCCCTCCTGTGCTGTCCTCTCCCCTCGGGCCTCTGCTTTGGGGCACCGCTGCCCCCCCCCCGGGCCTCCTGAGCCTTCATCCACCGGCCTCCTCCTGTGCGACCCCCCTGCTGCCACCTGCGCGTGGGGCGCCCGACTCCCCGTCTCCAAGCCGCCCCACGGGGCCTGGCGCCACGTTCTTGCCTCGTGATCTCAGGCCACTCTGTGATGTCCACGTGCGGTCTCACGCGTGCGGGGGCCACGCGGACACGGCCTCCCGGTCACGGCCCAAGTGAAGGGCGGCGCAGAGAACGCACCGGGCCCTAGCCAGGGAGTCGCAAAGGAGGTCCCCAAGAGTGGCGGGGGGCGGGGCCCGTGCGTGAGGAGAGGCATGGGGCGTCGCGGCCAGGGCCTGGCGGGGCCCGGAGTGGCTGTCGGGCAGCAGCCGGGCCCCCCTGACCCGCCCCTCTCGCAGGAGCCTGGTGACGCTGCCCAGGCTGTGAACAGGCAGGCGGCGCTGCGGGGGCTGCCGGCAGCCGGGGCCGGGAGAGACATGTGGACACGTGGCCTCTATGGCTCCCGCCTGCCAGATCCTCCGCTGGGCCCTCACCCTGGGGCTGGGCCTTGGGTTCGAGGCCACGCACGCCTTCCGCTCTCAAGGTAGGCCCGTTCGGGGCAGCGCGGGGAGGGGGCGAGGCGCGAGGAAGCCGCTGGCCCCACGTCAGGGCGCTCGCTGGGCCGGCTGGGGCGCAGGGCGCTGGGGGGCAGCGGGGTCCCGGCGGCGCCCGGGCCCAGCACACCCCTGCCGCCCACAGAGGAGTTCCTGGCCAGTCTGGAGAGCTATGAGGTCGCCTTCCCCACCCGAGTGGACCACAACGGGGCCCTGCTGGCCTTCGCGCCCCCCGACACGCGCAGGCAGCGGCGGGGTGCAGGATCCGGCGCGGAGCCCCGCCTCTTCTACAAGGTGGCGGCGCCCAGCACCCACTTCCTGCTGAACCTCACGCGCAGCCCCCGCCTCCTGGCAGGGCACGTCTCCGTGGAGTACTGGACCCGGGAGGGCCTGGCCTGGCAGAGGGCCGCCCGGCCCCACTGCCTCTACGCCGGCCACCTGCAGGGCCAGGCCGGCAGCTCCCGCGTGGCCGTCAGCGCCTGCGGGGGCCTGGTGAGTGGGAGGCCTTGCGCCGCGGGCCTCGTCGCAGGTCGGCGAGCTCATGGGTCCTCGGGGTGCTGCCTGAGCGGGCCCGAGAGGAAGCGTCCTGCCTTAGCTCAGGCTGAGGTCAGTGAGCCGAACTCCCGCCGTGAGACGCTGGCGGCGCAGCGGCGGTCCAGAGGGTGGAGGGGTGGCGTCCAGGGGCCGGGCCTGGTCCAAGCAGAGCACCCTTCCCACCCCCAGCATGGCCTCATTGTGGCCGATGAGGAAGAGTACCTGATCGAGCCCCTGCAGAGCGGGCCCAGGGGAGCCCGGGGCCCAGAGGACAGCGGCCCCCACGTGGTGTACAAGCGCTCCTCCCTGCGCCACCCCCACCTGGACTCGGCCTGCGGCGTGAGAGGTACGCCTGAGTGCTGCGCGGGCCCTCAGCCAGAGGACGGCAGTAGTCGGGCAGCAGGACTGCCCGCCCTGGCCACGGCAGCTCAGTGGCGCATGGGATGGGCAGTGGCCGGCCAGGCAGGTCCCAGTGAGCCCTCCTCCCCCCGGGACCTTCCGGGCAGATCTTTGAGCAGTGGGTGAGCGTAGGAGATACGTGTGCAGTCGGGCAGGGGACATGTGGGGTGCACGAAGCGCCCGCCCACACCGAGGAGGTCAGGGCTGCCCCACCTCAGGGTCAGCCAGCCCGTGGGCGGGAGAGGAGGGGCTTGGGGCACGTGGCCCGGCTGCCCAGCGGGAGCACGGAGCAGTGGCCGTGTGCCCTGGGGCGGGGGCGGACTCACCGCTGGCCCCTTGCAGAGACACAAAGGCCGGGCAGTGGGGCCAGAGGGCAGGCGCGGCCAGGAAGTCACCCCCGCGCCCTGCGGGCAGGAAGGCAGACGGGACACACTGCTGAGCGTTGGGGTGTTGGGAGCCGGCGTCAGGCTGCCCGGGGCGGGGGGCGGTGGCTGGCAGCAGCCGACGTCCGTGGTGCCCAGAGCCGCCTGCCGCACGGCCGGTCCCCAGCAGCAGAGGGCGCGCCGGGCGCGGCTGCGGCCAGGTGGCCGCCGGACAGGGCGGGACGCGGCGCAGGGCAGCGGGTGACGAGGCGCTGTCCGCCAGACGAGAAGCCCTGGAAGGGGCGGCCCTGGTGGCAGCGCACCCTGAAGCCACCGCCTGCCAGGCCCCTGGGCAACGCGTCGGAGCGCAGCCCGCCGGGCCTGAAGCGCTCGGTCAGCCGGGAGCGCTATGTGGAGACCCTGGTGGTGGCCGACAAGATGATGGTGGCCTACCACGGGCGGCGCGACGTGGAGCAGTACGTGCTGGCCATCATGAACATTGTAAGTGCCTCCCCCTGCGCGGCGCCAGCCAGCTCCAGGCCCCCACCCGGCCGGAGCCATCCAGGCCCCACGGGCGAGGGCGGGCAGCCGGGCCTGTGGCTGAGCGAGCCCTCGGCCAGCCCTCCCCTCTCC